GAGAGAGAGAGAGAGAGAGAGAGAGAGAGAGAGAGAGAGGTGAGGTGTGAGGGCAAACTTGACTGCCCTGGGTAGAGGAGATTCAATGTCATGGCTGAGGCACCTCACACCCCACATTGCAAACCTTGTCTTTCCCTGACCTGCATGTTCACACACACTCTATCATGAGCTGACTTCTCAAACTCAAAATTAGGTGAACTGAGATGAAACTTCCTATGCATCTTAGGTGGCCTCAACACAGTACCCAAGGGCAGACTTACTAAGCTTTTGGGGGGTGAGAATTAGGACCCTGAGCAGGGTGACAAAAGGAGCCTGGGGCTGAAATAAGGAAGTCAGTTTTCCATCACTCTAAACTTGAGATAGCTAAGGAGGACTAGTGGCCTCCAGGGTCTGTCCTTTGAGGGGAACAAAGGTACAAGCACAAGACAGACACTCATACCTGGATGAGCACAAAGTACCAAAGCATGTGGATGTTCCAGAAATACCCCAGGCCCAAGAGGGAGGTAAACAAGCCACTGAGCAGCATTCCAGCTGAAAGGTAGTAACGGAGGGGCAGCCGCTCTCCAAAAATTCCACTGGAGAAGAGAAGGAGTCCAGATTAGTCCCCGTGTACACTCGGCCACCTCCCCTCTTTTACCCCACTGATGACCTGTGTCCTGTTGTATGCCCAGGCTGACCTCAGTCCGCACTTCTGCTTTACTTGACACCACTGGCCATGCTATGACAATTCTGTTGCCCATGTCTCTCCCTCTGGGCTGACTACTCCTTGTCTCTTATTCTCTCAGCCTAGTCTCTTGCATCACCTTTAGGGTTTTAACTACCACGTAGATGCTAAACAGCCACAACTATGTATTTTCAGTCCCCATCTGTCCCCCTGCGCCTTGGGAACATATTCAGATTGCCTTTTGGGCACCTTTACTTGGATGAAACTCAACACTAAAACAGAACTCTTCCTCCTCTTTCACCTCTCAGAAACCTCGGAAACCCCAGCTGTCCTCAAGCTCAGCAGCTTGGCTGCTGTTGCACTGGCTCCTTGCTATAACTAGCCTTGTCTGCCTCAAACTTACCTCAACATCTCCCTCACGGTGATCTACCTGAAGCATAAATTTAGGTATAATCCATCAATGGCTCTCCCTTCTCACAGCCTAACACAGGCCTTCTGCAAATGACCTCATCCTTTAGCCCCATCTCCTGCTGTTGCTCCTCTTGACTCGCTCCCTCTGGTAACATTGCGAACAGTTCTACTAGCACATCAAGCTGTTCCTCATTTGGTTACTGTGCTCAGCAGTGCCTTTGACCTGGGTCCTCTTCCCCACTGCTAGGCCCATGGGTCTTCACAGTTCAGGCTCATCTCACAAGAAACTTTCCCCAGTCCATCCCCAAACCCAGTCTGCACTGCATGATTCCCCGACAGACACCTCTATCCTATAGCCATTTCATCATTTTTCAATTAACTGCTGACCCAAGGGCTCCCCTACTAGGCTCTGAAGGCCTTTGAAGGCCACAACCTGCACCATCCATCTGTGACTCCTGGCAGCAAGCTCCATGCTGCCTATATAATTCAGACAGAACTGGATGGGCTCTCCTTGGGGATCTGTATGTCCAGGGCTGGACTTAGGGGACCCTGGTCCATACGCCCCATGCTGCCTCTGACTGAGTCAGCTCAAAGACAGCATCCAAGAAGTCTCACAGAAAAAAGGGTTGCTAACAGGAGGAGTTTACCAGCAAGACGTGGGGGAGCAGTGTGGTGTCCAAGAAGGGAGGTTGGCCATGAGCTGATGGCCTGGGGAGGTCTTGGCCTCACTCCTACTTGGAGGAGCTGCTATATCCTAAAGCCCCAGGTCAGTGAGGAGAAGTGGCAGCTCTGAACCTTCTGACCCAACCCACCCCAATGGACACAAACTGCCTTTCTCTTACCTGATAAACATGCCGATAGCATAGGCCACCAGGAAGGCATTGTCCACGGCCCCCAGTAACTCCTTGTAGTCATCTTTGTCTGAAAGCAGATGGGAGAGGCAGAAAGCTGGCTGGATGGCCCTTCAGGAAACCCCTGTTCACTCTTAAAGAAGAAGGAATGGGAGTGGAGAACAGCAATGTGCGCTTGCAATGTGCCAGTGTTCTTACCAAATGGACTCCAGCTGCACCACGTGGTATCATTGAAATCGTGAGTATCATTATCGGGCCTGATCAACTCGGAGCAGTTCTGGTGCAGACGGCTCTGCAAGGCAATGGTATACATGGGTTGGTGGTCGCCTCATCTCCTGGAGCCCACTCAACCCAGAAAGAAGCAAGCAACCTGCTACCCAATCATCAGCACCCCTTCCTCCCTCCCACCTTAGTCTATGCTCCCTCCTGCCAGTATCTCCTCCAGCAGGGGTAGGTGGCTACGAGAGACCCGTGAATGGTCTTCAGGGCCCAGAGCCCCTGTCTTCTCAGCTTACCCACACCCATCAACTCTTCTGTCTGGGGGATAAACGTAAAAGGAAAACAGGGAAATATTGCAGGAGGGAGGTAGGAAAGAGCCACCAACAGTGACTTATCTTCCAGCTAGTTGGAAGGAGCAGTCCCAGTGACTAGGTAAAGGAAGTTGGAGGGTGATGGTCTGAGGTCCAGACATCCAACTGCAGCACAGGCCTTCCAGGCCCTACATATCCTGCATTCTCCCTTGCTACCTAACCTCACCTTGACGATGCTGATGGGCTTCCTGGACATGTGATAACAGGTATAAATAAGGAAAGTGAGCAGCAGGATGAAGCCACGGAACCTGTGTGAGAAATGAGCATCCTGGTCAGGAGAAAACGGGCCCCAGCCAAAAGAAGCAGCAGCCTACCTGTGTGGACTTGAGCAGTCCCAGGAACTCAGTACCACCAATTTTTTACTTCAGGTGCTCTTCCAAACACTAGTTCCCAGAGCAGAGTCCAGGGGAGGCTGGAAGCAAAGGGCCATTGTGGGCAGCACCTCCCCTGCTCCTGCCCCCTTCCATCCCTTCAGCCCCTCCAGGGTCTCACTGAGGCAAAGGTGCCTGTGCCTGGGTGTGGGGCACAGATATGGTCACAGGGAATTGGGATCATTTCCTAAATGTCAGAAATGATAGGCATGGGAGGGAACTAAGAGGGAGAGGAGCCTGTCTTCAACGTGGTGTCTATTCTCCCCTTGAGATTAGAAGATAGCAGACCATAGCTAGAGATGATGCAGCTGGGACAAAACCTCAGTCCTCTCCTCCTGGTCCCGGACCAGTCAGTTCTGCGGGACAGAAAGCTTATTCTTTGCTCTGTGGCTTGCATGGCTGTGTGCCTTCTCTGCCCTGCTTCTCATCTCATGCACTGACCAGATAGAAAGAACAGTCCAGTCAGATGCCCCTCAAAGTTTCCATGCACCACAGCCACTTCCCTTCTTCCAAGAGTCTTGGGAAGATCCTGCAGTGCCTGCCTGAGTCAGTGCTTCCCCAGCAAGGTATCAGCTGAGCTGAATCAGCAATCAGGAGCCAAAAAGTGCATGGAAAATAGACCTCAGAATGGGGCTCAATGACAGAACACATGATTAGTATACTTGAAGGCCTAGGCTCAACCATCAGTAAAGAAACAAATCAGCATGGAAGCAAAGGTCAGACATTAGTGTAAGACTCAGTAACTCTTCTCTTGAACGAGCAGAGTGGGGAAAAAAGGAGGGCAGGCCCTAGAGCCTTAATCTCCCTTGGCTCCACTGAGGTGGCAGAGGAGGAGAGATACTGCAGACACCAGATGGTCAGCCTGCCCTGTCTGGTAATCTGCCTCCAAACTCCAGACTCACTCCCCCAAAACATATAATTAAACAATGCATGCTACCTCTTGAGAAATAAAGGGTGTTTATGCAAAGTCTGAATTCAGATTGTGTTGCCAGGTCCTGTCTCACTTTACCCTGGACTTGAATTTCCTACCTGGGTGTCTGTCTCCATTTTCTCACTGTCACATAATTTTTCTCTTAAGAAAATGATTTTACACATGCTTCCCTCCATTTTTTGGTTTAAATATTTTCTCTATATTTCTATATCCTCAAGATCAAAGTTCTAAGCCAGGCATGGTAGTGTACACCTGTTGTCCCAACACTGAGGAGGCTGAGGCAGGAGGATTGGGAATCTGAGGCCAACCTGGGCTAGATAGTGAGACCCAGTCTCAAAACACCTCCCTGGAAACCAGTTCTCAAGGCACCCGTGAATCACACAAGTCCTCAACTTTAGGGAAGCTGAGGCTACCCTAAGTGCCTGTCCCAGTGATTGACATCAAAAAGTTTTTTCAAGGTATACAAATTGCCTTGTGGCTATGATTCTTAATTCAGAGATTTATAGAATTCTCTAAGTTATTTTAGAGAGAGTACCAAGCTGGCAAGGAGCAATAGATGGAAGAAAACTGAAACCCTACAGCTCACACCAGCCCAGGGCTTGCCGGGGATGCCACTCAGTCCAGGGGAAAGCAGACAGCTTTGAGTGGCACCTCTCTCACTCACTGCGTAAGTCTTTAATGCTTCTGGCTACTTTAGTTGTGCATAGATGTGGTCCATACATGAGCATCAACTCCATCTACTTATAGGTTAAGTGTCTACAATATCACTCTCACCCTCGTCCTTAGGTGACCCTTAAGTGCCGCAAAGCTGAGACTACTTTAGCGGACCACATAGAGGTGCCAGAGCCCTTTCCAGAATGTGTGGCCACTGGTCATAATGACAAATCAGATCCTCTTTAGTTTAGAAAGATCTTCATGGACCCAAGTCCTACAGGATCACCTGAGAGTGCAATAGTGAGGACCAGTCAGCAGTAAGTAGACCTAGTGCTATGTGGAAAACCATGCTACATAGTAAACATGCTAGACACTCAGGAGTTAGGCAGAGCCAGAGGCCCCAGAAAGACAATCTAGCTGTCATAGCCTTTCCCCTCTCACCTCAAATCGCAGCTTCAATACCACTCCCCCACCTCCACCTGCTAGGAGCTTCCAGTGTTCATCCTTTTCTGTTCCATGCCCATGTCATTCAGAGTCCTGTCCCTCCCATCCCTGGGGAGGAAGAGCCATTCCAGAAGGCAGACACACTCATGCCCACACTGATATTGTTGGCAAAAAAATAAGACTGCTCTTCCATCCACCTATGTATCTACCATGTCCTAGTCATCAAACTAAAGATCTAGCAATTACAAGAGAAATGGAAAGACAGATCCTGCCCTTCTGGAGTGCACAGGTCAATGAGGAGTCAGATGCACAGAGTTAGGGTGACTGTGCTGTAAAAACAGGAAGTTTTGTGTGACACAGGAGTCCAGAGGAGGGAAACCAAACCCAGTGAGATGGCAGTGGTGTGATGAAAGGGTTCTTGGAGATGTGGTTTCAAAATCAAGCAGGAGGTGGCCAGCAAACCACGATTAGGCAGAGAGCTCTGCCAGGGAAGCAGCAGCGTATGCAAAGGCACAGAGGCATGAAATAACACTGCCTGTTTGGGAATACCACATGGTTCAGGATATCTGGAAGGCGAGACTGAGCTAAGCACAGAAGTGGCTGGGAGGGCGCAGGCTGGGCAGGGCCTTATGTGCCAAGAGGCAGGGCTTGGGCTGTCTCTTGAGGAGGATGGGAAGCTATTGAAAGGGCTGGGGTTTCCCATGTGAGGGTGCTCTAGATACACACCAGGTGGAAGCCCTAAGCAGACCTCTTTACCAGAGGGTGAGCCAATCTCCATGCCTTTCTACCTAGCTACTTCCAGGCACATGGTGACCTCAAAAGATACTCTAGATAATGTATTTCAAGGAGTTAATGTCTGTAGAGAAAAAGAAAGCAAGGACTTAAATCAGGCAAAAGATGGTTTCTTTCCCTAAACCTGTTTGCTCTTCTGAAAAGCAGGCTTTGTTCAACTTGCTCACAAAATCACTGACAGGCAAATGAGATGATATCTGTCACAGGCCTTATAGCACTGACACCCAACAGACACTTGAAAATGGTAGCTAGTGTTGTTTCAGATTCCCACACGAGAAAGAACTGGAAGGAACTGAGACAGCCCTTGCTGCTGTTACAGGAGCCAAACTAGGCACCAAACTCTTTTGGACCATGGAAGGTAGAGATGAGGAGGCGAGCTGGACCTCCTCATCACCTTCCCAGAATGCATACCTGATCTCTAAGGACACAAAGACCTCAAGTTACTAGTGCCCTGTCTTTGTTAGGGTGTGTTGAGTGCCTGTGAGGGAACCTGCAATGCTACAGGAAAGGAACTCTGGACTTCTAAGTTCTTTCCACCACTTCCTCAGGGCAGTCAGGAGGATCAGCAGGTCCACACTGGCATTCTGGCATGTGATTTTTCCGCTCTGCCCTCTAGGGACCTGCCCAACCTGACCCCAATCTCCAGTGATAGAAAACCTGACCCCCAAGTCAGTAGGAAAGTATGACCCCTGAGAGCCAGGGTTTCTCTGCTGTGCTGTGTGGTGCTAGGCTTGTGCTGGTTTCTTCTGGGACTTCCTGCCTGGTGTCCAGTGGGTAGAAGGATATGCTCTCACTCACAACCCGGCCTCCTACTAGCCAGTGGTCCTTTTAGGCCACTATCAGATGTTCTGAGGAAAGGACCCAAGTGCTGTCATTCAAAGGGGCCTAGGGACATGGGACAGGTTAAGGGTGGAGCTAGACTGAGGCTGAGGCACTGAAGCTCATTCACAGGCCTGACAGCTGAGGGCTCTCGGGTGGGACTTGTAGGTTTCACTTCTGTTCTCACAAGCCCTTCCCTTGGGGAACCAAGAGGCCCCACTAGGGGAGCAGGGCACAAAACACAAACAGATACAAGGTAAGAGATGTCAGCCCAAGTGCAGAGCTGGGTTGGGCAAGCAGGCCAGAGAAGGCCCCCAGACGGCTTCACATGGGACCAGCTGCTTCATGACCCTCTAAGTCTTTGTTAGCAAGAGGTGGCCCTCCTTAAGAGTCCCACCTTCTCTACCAGATACTGGTTACTGAATAACCAAGTCAGAAAGAGAGGGGGACTAGCTATCTCTTAACTATTATCTGACAGCCCAACTTGTTCTTTCACAAAACCTCGGTAATAGTTTCACTTTGTTAAGACTTTGCACTAAGAATGATTCTGGGATAGGAACAGAGAACAGAGTTCCCCAAAGTAGCCGCAGAGAACAGGCAAACAAGACCCCAATAGCAGAGTCTTTGATTTCTGGAAAAGAGGAAACAGGCCCCTCCCTTCAGTCATCCCAGTGCCTGCCTCCCTGTTCTTTGCTCCACAAATACTTTGCTGACAGCTCTGACTACCATGTATAGACAATGGGGACTTAACTCCCTCACTGACTGATCCCCACCCCTGCTTCAACATGGGACTGCTTAGGACAGACACCAGGGTAGGCTGGTTGTGGCTGCCGGTGACCCTGGCACTTCCCTTGGGGAAATGAACCTGGTGGCCTGTTTCTGGGTTTGACTGTTCTGGGGTCAGCAGTTCTGAAAAGGTTAGAGGGCTGGGCACAGGAACCAGACCATGGTCAATGCAGATAGCACCACCACCCTAACCTCTACCAAGGCCACCACCAACACTGGGAGATATCCTAGTAGGGAGGGCCAGCCAAGAACAGATACTCAGGGGGTAGAGTCCTGAGTAGGGCCTATAGTCTACAAGAGCAGGCAGCCCAGGCCTGGGAGGGCCTCTGAGGAGAAAGATTTCTTGAAGCAGGTCCACAGAATCTGTCTCTTGTCCCCTTTCTCTAGCTGGGCCTTGGGTGCTTGCTTAGATGGACAGAGTTTACTTAGGGCTTAGCTAGCCAACAGATGT